AAAAAAAAAAAAAAAAAAAAGGATTGTGGCGTAGGAGTTGGGGCTTATCAACTGGGGTTTAGGGTTTGATTTTGTTTGGTGGATCTGGCGTTCAGGGGCTTGGTTTAGGTCTTGAATCTGTTGCCAGCTCTGGGGGCTTGGGGTAGAAGGCTGCGCTCGTTCTAGCTGGCCTTGATGCGTAGAGTCCTAGAGGCTACAAACTTTGCTGCCTGCAAACAACCCTTAGGGCCCCAAGCTCTGCATGAACCTAAGTAGGATGCCGCTCTTGCCGGGTGCCAGACAGGGCGAAGCTTTTGCTTCGTGTACCTTCAGGGGTGTCCCTGGGCAGGAAAACAGGTAACCCGAAACACAAACAAGAAGAACTTATTCCCGACATTCAGAAACCCATCTCTGAGCCCTGAGCCCGAAAGTCCAACTGAAACCTCCCTGCACCCCAAGCCTAAACCAAGCCCAGCCCTTAGTCGCAAACCCTAGATCCAACACCNNTCAATTTTCTCTTCCATTATCCCTATATAACCCCTATACAAGCCCTATATAGCCCCCATAATATACCCCTAAACCCTGACCCTAACCCTATATAACTCGCTATAGTAGTTTCTTTTCCATTCATCCTATCTATTCCCTTAACCTTGGGAACCCCACAGCCCGAAATGCTAAACCCCTGTTTACATGTCATGTTCCATTTTCTTGTCCATTTGATTTTCGTTTCTTGGGGGGAACCCCAAAGCACAAAATGCTAAAGCCAAAGCGGCCACGTCTCCCTCGGCCGCCAGTGGGCGAGCTGGGCCTTTCATGCTGAAGGCTGAACTTCGGGTCTTTAGGGTCGAGGGTCTAGGGGTACCTTTATGGGATTCTATAGGTGCTATATAAGGATAATGGAAAAGAAAATGTAAGTTACTGATGGTCCTGATTTTGTTCCTTTAGAAAGTTCCTGGGCGACCCGCTGATGGAAAGATACCTGTGCGATATAACAATCCTCCCACATTGCACTTGACAAAATGTTAAACATTCATAACTGTACTTACACATGGCTGTTATAGTGGGAGAGGTGGGGGCAGTAGCTAGAATGCTGGTTCTTGCACATGCTGAGGCACCTAAGCACATGGAGGTTTTTCAAAATCTCAAGTATCCCAATGGGTCTGTGGGGGTTGGTGTATGAGCGGATCGCGGCTCCTTTCTTGGGAGTCATAACATGGTTCGCAGTGGTTTAGATCAGCTCCCACAAGATGAACAACCCCGAACTGACCAAGAAAGCTGGTCTTGTGAACGAAGGGGAAGATGCGGTGAATTCCCTCCCCCCAAATAAGAAAGCCCCCACATAGCGCACCATTCTGCATTTGGGGGGAATCTTCATTTCTAGTTGCTACACTGGTAACGGGGAGGCCGGGAAGTGTAGGTTTAGAAGCTTGCAAAGTCCAAGAAAGCTTTGATACGCACGTTTCTCTACGAAAAAGTCCTGGACATGAAACAAGTGCAAGTTCAGAAAGCCTGGCCATCCATCATGCTTTGGAGCATGCCGGCGTGCCCTAATATATCCTCATGCCTGAACCCTAAACCCTAAACCCTAAACCCATTATCGTTGTACCCCTACAATGTATATTTGGCACTAGGAGGTAGGAGTTTCCAATATTTGGGGGAAATGGGTCTTTCCTACGTCCAGCAGTGTTTGTCATCAAGAGTGCTGCTGTGATTTTCTAGCGGTCACACGATCACACAGGTCGTGTGCCTGTTAGTGGCGTCTGGCGCTTTCCACTGTTTGAACCGCACTACTGCGCGCCTTTGGCGCTGGTAACAATGGCTCACACTTGAAAATCTGATTCTAGTACACGCTAGGCGGCATGATCTGCAATGCCCCATCCAAGCGAAGCATCTCAACGTCGTTGATACGGACTCCCTCCGCCTGGGAATATTCGTTTATCAGGGGGTGGAGATGACTCACACATCCTCAATCCTTCTTCTCCATTTCCATTTCTGCCATCTGCTGCATCTGCAGCTGTCTCGCTTGGGCTAGCATTCCCCAGCGGACGAGAACGAGGATGATGATGCAAGAAATGCTCTTTCCTGAGTCATCAGCTCAATAACTTTTCAAGACAAGCAAGGACGACGGCTAACTCTGAAGAGCTGATATGTCTATGTATGCGTATACAAGATTTGAAGGGGCACCTCATCCCGACGATCCACGGAAATCTTGATAAACCCACTGCAACCTACTCCCCCCCTCGCCTGGACACTTTTCAGGCGGCGGACGGTGGACCCTCTACATGTCAGAGACTTACTAAATCCGGAGGCAATTTCATCCTTACTCCTATTTACATACATACTTTAAATGACCCCATACAAATCCAGCTTCCACTATATTGCCCGTTATCTTTTCCATTCTCCGTTTGAGGGACATCCCGGAAAACTTTTATGAGGTTAACATCCCGGAAAACTAAACCCTAAGCCCTAAACCCTTAACCCTAAACCCTAAACCCTTAACCCTAAACCCTAAACCCTAAACCCTCTAAACCCTAAGCCCGATTAATCCCTGATTCTTCGAGAACCCAGCTCGGGTCCCGAACTCGGTGAAGCCCTTTCCTGCCTACATCCTGCCTCCAAGGGAACAAGCATATTCATGTAGATGTATATATAATATATTTGTGTGCGTGTTTGTGTGTATATATATATATACATGACATATATATATATACATGTATGTATGTATGTATGTATTTAGGTTATGTAGGGATGTACAAATGGGTGATGAAGGGATATAAAAATGGGCCCAATGGGTGATCTAGGGATATATAATATAGAGGCTATGTAGGGATACACAAGGATTTTGTAGGGATCTACAGGGGTTATGTAGGGATGAATAGGGGATATGTCACTATGTATAGCGCTTAGGATTTAGGGATGTTACCCGAATGATAGAGAATCACAAACACAAGCATGAAACTCTATAAATACCCCCTTCATGACCCTAAACCCTGAAACACTAATTTCACCGTGGCCTCTGACCTTGCAGGGCTTTTTTGGGTTGGGGAGTGCGAGCCTAGAGGGTCAATTTGAGGTACAAATAGGGTATATACTAGGCATATCGGGACCACAGGGTCAAGGGCCCGTACTAGGCACCCATACTTGGAACCTCTCACTTTTGCAGTTCAAAACTTCAGGCGAATTATGCTGCCCTCCCCCTCCCCGTTGTTGGCTTCCGCGTTCTGCTCCATAAACCCTACACCCTTTAGCCATGAGGAAAGATTGCAACCCCTTGTTGAGCAGAGGCTACACAGGCTGCCACGACCCTACCTTTGCTCAAATGTATGCGATGCCAGGGGGCCAAGCAAGTGAAAAGTACTACACCCTCAATTCGTGGTGCTTAAGCGGGCGGAGTAGCAAGCATAGGGACTACCATGATGGATTACATTAGGAATATGGTAAGGATCCACTCCTCCAGTCCCAACCCGAATGATTCAATTCCCCAATCTTGTCATCTCGAGACCACCACCCCTCGAGACTATGACTTGCTGGTTGTTGTGGAGTAGTGCAACATTGCCTCCCATACCAATGCCAAAATACCATACCCTCATTCCCTACTACTAGACATCGCCAGTAAACTGATCTAATCCAAGGGTCCATCCACCGCACCCTCCATGCCCGACACAAGCTCCCAAAGCTCTTTGCACACTAGAGCCAAAGCCATGAGACCACTAACCTGGGTGGGAGGGTAAGTCTTTTGCTTTAGGCGCTTCAGGCTTTAGGGTTTGGAGTTTAAGGTCACGACATCATATACACGCAGCAAGACCATCTCGAAAAAGCCTACCTCTCAGGGGCTTGGGGTGTGTCAGCAAAAGGTTCACTAAGGGCGTACGAAAAGATGTGGGGTTAACAGCTCGCGTTTTTGAGGCTTAGGGCTCAGGGGTTTGAGTGGACGTTGTTACCGTATTTCCCTTCCAAATATGAGAAATGATATGTCTGACAGCTCCGCACCAACACTGCAAAAAATCATGATTTTAGTTTGAGCGCCACCACGCTGACACAAATCGAACAAAATGATCCAAACGCGCTCCAGCGACCATCGCGGGATTCGGGCGGTGAAACACCAGCATGCTGTCACCCCGATTGCAAGAGGAAGCCAGACAGACAAATCCAAGCAGCAAGAACTGTATCTTGAACCTAAAGGCCGCGAAAGCTGACCTTGCTTGAGGTAAAATGGATTGGCGCTGTTCTCACTTGCATGCTGCATCTGACACCAAGTGCTTGCCACATCCGCAATGTCAACGCCTCCATGTCCAAACATGCCCGGTCATGATTCTCCCTTGGAAAGGCACATGGCACATCAAGGCCCAACAACAGTGCCTGGGGTAGTAAGAATCCTGGTCCTTGAAGAGTGGCGCATCATGTTGATAAGCTCGGATATGAGCATCTCATCAAACAGCGGTAATCCCTCAAAAACGGGACTCCTGATTGTTGTAACCACCAACCCAAACCCTAACTACTCATCATGCAAACCCTCTGTATCCCTAGAAAACCCTTATATCTAAATGGTGGAAAGGCACCGCAAACATGAACCCCATCTGTTTGAGAAAGCCCCACATGGATTCATGGAATCATCCCTTGATAGCCCTTAATCGGGGCTCTCCTTTTGCCTCCTCACAACATGAATCCTAAACCCTGAATCCTAAACCCTACACCCCAAACCCCAAACCCTAAATCCCAAATCCTACGTAAACTCTACATAAACCCTAGGGCCCCTCCAGGCGAAGGCAGGCGCCTGCAGCGCCTCGCGGAAGGCGAAGCGTCGCCGCTCGTCCCGCAAAGCATCCCTTGCTCCCGCGCAGCATTGGCGGTTAAAGTTTTCGGGGGTTGGGGTTTGGGGGTCAAAGTTTCAGGGTGTTGGCCCTGAACGCAGGACGCCTTCGCCATCTACTCCTACTCCCCAAACGCTTAACTCTAATCCCTGAACCCTGAACTCCTTAATCCCAAACCCTACCCCCTAAACCCAAAACCCTAGTCCCAAAACCTGAAACACTGGCCTGAAGTTGGAACGGCTCTTAGCCAATGAAGGCGCCACTGTGCGGCGCACGGCCTCTTGCACATCAGCTGCCGTGGCCCATGCGCGCCTCCATGTCTGTAAGGCCCCATAACAAGGGTCTAGGGTACCTGGAGGATTTGAGAATATGGAGGGCTCGCGTTTAGTTTTTGTTGTATCTTGAAGGCATCGCAGTACTGATAAGAGGAATCTGGCTACCTAATCCCCAAGAAAAATGAAATGAACAAGAAAATGGAAAGTGACATAGGAACTCAGTTTACGTGGGCTATGATTTGATAATCCCGACCCCAAAATGTGGACCCGGTGATTGTGAAATGACTCCTACTGGGTCCCATTTCTGGGGTAGGGGCAATTGGGTTACCAAAATCCTCCTCTTATTCCTAAAAACGAATCACTACATAACCTCGATTTTCATTTTTGTGAACCCAATCAAGGTCAACTCAACAAAATCCTCTTCCCCCAAAAGGTGCACCCCAGAGGTCCTTTACAACGTGAACACGGCCCCCCCCCCCCCCAATAAACAAGCGCATCTACTTAGGCGCTTTCAGAAGGACACCAGTCTTTGTAGGGCCATCCTTTTCTTTGTTTTGGCCTCCACGGCTGATTTGAGGAGCAAAGGAGCAAAAAACAATATGCTTTGCAAGCAAAGAGCACGACCAAACGGGCCGGTCCACGCAGGTTTGCCAGATCTCCCGGCCCCGTGGCTGCAAAGTCGGCCAACGCTCGGCCGTTGATGGCCAGGACCTGCAGGTGGATAGAGTTTGTTCTAATGGACAAGAAAATCGAAACTACCACGGTATTTAGGGTTTAGGGTTGAGGGTCGCGCGGGGCTGAGGGTTTTGGAGCTCAAAAATGGAAAATCAAATGGAAAAAACGGAAGATTTAACTGGTATTGTTTAGGGTTTGGGTTTGAATGTTTAGTGTTTGATGTTGATAATTGGGGAGGAGTCAGGATTGAACATGTTGCGGGTTTGGGATTGAGGGTTGGAGTCTGAACTTGGGGCTTCGGGTTTAAGGGTTTGGGAGGATTAGAATTTAGGACTAAAGGCTTTGGGTTTGGGGCATACGGTTCTCGATGAACCGCCGGGGCCCCTTCATTATACATCCCCTCATACGAGCACATATGAAAGAAAGGTCATGATAGGGCATAGCGTCATAATCATGAATACATATGAGCCCTAGTCTAAACTCCTAGTATCAACCTTAATACTCCCAATAGTAGTCCCCCAAATAATCCCTTAAATACCCCCCTTTAAGGAATTATGGCTCATATTATGTTTGGCTGGCGAAGCCGGCACCAGTAACGAACTCCTCGTGGACCTCACAAAGAAAAGGCTGCCAGGCTTCCTTGAGACTGACGGCGGCCGGCTGTAGCGACACAACAAGCAGCTCAACTAGTGAAAAGGCCCATTTAATCAAAATGGGATTTTGGGCTTTAGTTTCTTGGTAGGTAAGGACTACAAGGGAATGTTATTTGTAGGGGAACAACCCCAAGATTCCCCACACCAAGAAAATCCTGCACGCTAAGCTCGACGGCTAAATCTGCAGTCCCGAGCCCCTAAACCTGGGCCCCAATACTCTAAACTCTAAGGGATTTGGAA